TGAACAGTTGAAGCTAGTGTTCTTGGCTGTAAAAGAAAGGTAACACTATCTTGTAGGTGAATCTATATTCTTGAAATCCAATTGATAAAAAAATTTTTGAAAAGAAACTAAAGTCTGGTAATCAGCTTGAAATTTTGATTTCAACCAGTTAACTTGTCATCAATCACTTTTGTCAAAGGTATTTTGCAATATATTGCAATCCTCTGTGCATGTTGATGATGTAAATTCGGGTGAGGCCAAGCTTAAAAAATTCTTTGTTTGCAGTTGCAGACCTATAATTTTTAGTCTGGGTAGGTAGGTAGGCAATTTTTTTTTTTTCCAGATTTTTGTTAGGTAACATAAAATAGAGTTTTTCATAGGCCTCTTATACATGAATAAGCTGCACTCTTGGTATAAACTAATGATTGATGAAGACAAAAATTGAAATTGAAACAGTTTTAATATCCTGAAAAATTGGAGAAAAAAATTATATTACAAAATGGCTAAAAAAAAGTTTGGGTCGGGTGCATTTTCAGTGGGTCGATCGGCAACTGCAAACAAACAATATTTTATTTTAGGCCTGACCTATTGCTATCCGTTTTCGTCCGTTGGCCGTCGTGTGTTAATATTTGAACATTTGCAGCTTCTTCTCTGAAACCACTGAACCAATTTCAACCAAATTTAGTACACAGCATCTATGGGTAAAGAAGAACATAAATTGTGAATTTTATGGTCCCTGCTCCCCTGGGGCCTGAGGGGTGGGGCCAAAACTACTAAAATTATTGCAATCTTTAAAAATCTTCTTTACTCCTGGACATCAAGCAAGCAAACTGGTGGCATGAATGTAATGAGCATTGAGTAAAATACCAAAATTGTGAAATTTATGGCCCCAGGGTCAGGGGTTCTAGTGCTAGGGCGGGTCTATATAGATTATATAGTGAACATGCATTATTTCTTTAAAAATCTTCTTCTCTGCTCCTGGCTATTAAATAAACTAACTAAGTACATGGTTATGATGTGCAAGAGTGCCTCTTCCAAAATTGTGAATTTTATGGCCCCAGGGCCAGGGGTTCTGGTGTTAGGGCGGGGCTCTATTGATTATATAGTGAAAATGCATTTATTCTTTGAAAATCTTCTTCTCTGCTTCTGGGTATTAAATAAATGAACTAGGTACATAGTTATGATGAGCAAGAGTGCCTCTTCCGAAATTGTGAATTCTATGGCCCCAGGGTCAGGGGTTCTGGTGTTGGGGCAGGGCTCTATTGATTATATAGTGAAAATGCATTAATTCTTTGAAAATCTTCTTCTCTGATTCTGGGTATTAAGTAAAGGAACTAAGTAATAGTTTTGATGAGCAAGAGTGCCTCTTCCAAGATTGTGAATTTTATGGCCCCAGGGTCAGGGGATCTGGTGTTAGGGCGGGGCTCTATTGATTATATAGTGAAAATGCATTAATTCTTTGAAAATCTTCTTCTCTGCTCCTGGGTATTAAATAAAATAACTGAGCACATAGTTCTGATGAGCAAGAGTGCCTCTTTTAAAATTTTGAATTGTATGGCCCCAGGGTCAGGGGTTCTGGTATTAGGGCGAGGCTCTATTGATTATATAGTGAAAATACATTAATTCTTTGAAAATCTTCTTCTCTGCTCCTGGGTGTTAAATAAACTAACTAAGTACATAGTTATGCTGAGCAAGAGTGCCTCTTCCAAAATTGTGAATTTTATGGCCCCAGGGTCAGGGGATCTGGTGTTGGGGTGGGGCCCTATTGATTAAAAAGTGAAAATACATTAACTGGGGCCCTATTGATTAAAAAGTGAAAATACATTAATTCTTTGAAAATCTTTTCCTTTGCTCCTGGGTTTTATGCCAATGATACAAGTATATATATTTATGATGAAGAAAGGTGCATCTAGCAAAATGGTTACTTTTTATGCTCCCCTGGGTCGGGGGGGGGGGGGTTGGTTACATAGTCTGAAAATAAATTAATGCTTTGAAATCTGCTCATTAGTATTAATCAACCATTTTATGATAAAATTGCAAGACTTTGAAATACCAGGTATGTGGCCCCAGGATCAATGGTTACTTTGGGGTGAGGTGCAAAACTGGTCATAAAGTGGAAGGGCATTTTCTCTTTGTTACTCTGATCTATCTCTGGGTATTAAGTAAATAGAGTAAGCATGCTAAGCTTATAATTATGATAAGCAATGGTGCCTCTTTCAAAATTGTGAGTTGTGAATTTCATGGCCTCTGGTTTAAAACACGAACCAAAGTGAATTGTTTGAAAGTTGTTATAGAATACTCAGGTGACCTATAAGGCCCGTGGGCCTCTTGTTAAGTTTGGAAAATTATTCTCAAGACTAAATTCAAAACTAAACGAAAAAAAAAATTGAATGGACTATGAACTGCAGTATGCTATATATATAGATACTAGGTAGCTGTAACCCAGTGTAACTGTATGAGGGGCCGGGGTATATCAAAAAGTTCGTGGACTAGTGCCATAAAATTTAAACCGCTTTAGGTATATCAATGAATTTTAAAATACAAGTATCTAGTTAACATCATCTTTTCTATCCACAGAATAAACCACAAATTATAATTTTTTTTCAATAAATTAGTCAAGTTTTTGTAAGCAATGGTATGTCCAGAAACGCAACCTCAAAAACGACGTTTTTTCGACCTAAGTGTAACTGCGGAAAACTATTTTGATATGAACATTTGACGTACAAAAATCCTGTTAATTCAGGTATGGGACACTATTGTTCTATAAAATATGGATTTTTTACTTCGTTCTGGAACTTCTATGAAATTTTATCGTAAATTTTACATGGACTAACCAAACAAATATTGCCTTGAAAATGACGTCAAAAGGGGGAGGGGTTTCCTTTTCCAATATTCTATAAAGTTTTGTCCCTGAAAAAAAAATGGTATAGACCCAGGATATGTTTAAACTGGCTACGGAGAAAAAAAAATATGCATCCAGATTAGTTTTTTTTTTAATGTCAAAATAGATTCAGAGAGAAAAGGGATGCACAGTTAATGTCGAGTTGTAGTCAAAGTGTGAAAAATCAATCACGTCAAAAAATTACCTTGATCATTTGTTGTAGATATTAAACTCCTAAAAGCAAAATATGCTGGTACAATCAATCGAGGATCTCTCCCAATGTATAAATCCATTTGGAATATTATATGCATTTAAGCCGCTGTTCATGACATTGTAAAATCATATAAACAAGACGGGTTGAAATCCTTACTCAGCTCCAGGGAATCTCATCAAAATAAGTGTATGGGGCAGTCTGATTAAAACCAGCCCCCTTCTCCTTTCACTCGTCAGGAGAAGGGGGCTGGTTTTAATCAGACTGGTGTTTGCCTTAAATAAAATTAGTAAGCTTCAAATCAGAAAATAAACTAATGTACATTAGTCTGATTTTAAATCATCGTTCTTAATTTTCAACTTGAAGTTAACAACATCAGCTTAACCCAAAGTTAACATGTTTAGTTTTAATTTATTTCAATAACTTTAGGCAATGAATACAAGACCTCCAATTAGTTTTGAAAGTGACCACTGTTGATTATCTTCACATTTTATTACGTCAGTTTTCAAACCCCAGAGTGTTGCGCCAAAGGTGATTGTATTGATGAGGAGATACATCCTCTGTGACATTGCTACAGACAGTTTCCTAGCAGCTGCATTCGTGTTTTTTCCTACTATCTATTGACAAAATGCTATTGCAACTTTCTAGTATCAGTTAACTTTATTTCGATTACTTAATATGTGATAACATACTTTGGGCATGCATTGAGTTGCCAATTCTCGGGCCTTTCTGGGGCCCGTTTTACAAAAGAACTTACGACTAAGACCCAAAACTTCAGATGATCATATTTTTTTTAAAAATCAATAATTATCTTTGAAATTGTTTGTGTAAAAATATTTTACCACATTCCTTTTAAAAAGTTTAAAATAATTTTCGATAAAATGTTAATTGAAAATTATATGAAGAATTAAATTTGGTCTTAATAAAACGGGCCCACCTGGCTAACGGAGAAACAATCTGGAATGTGTAATATGTAACCCTGACCCCCACTCCCACACCAAAAAAAAAAAAAAAAGAAAGAAAAACAACAACAACAACATTGAAATAAATGCAGGAGACTTCATATTTTGTATGCACACTCTACTAATTTACTATTATCCAATGATACCAAGGTCAATGATCTTGTGACCTTGACTGTGACTTTTTTGCTAAAAATAGCTTATTTCATCTTTCACCATAACTTTTGAACCATATGAGATAGAGACTTCATAAATGGTATGCATACTCCATACCCTCTTTGAACCTTAACCATATCTTTTGAACCACAAGAGATTGAAACTTCAGATTTGGTATGCACATGCCGCTAAACAAGTTCTTTCAAATTATACCAAGGTCAATGACCTCGACATTGACCTATAGGCTAAAAATAGCTTTTTTCGAACTTTGTTGCCACCGGGCGCAAAGTGTTTCACAAACACATCTTGTTAAGTTTATTAATTGCTCTCCTGATCTCTGTCTTTGTTGGCTTATCGCAGTTGATCGGGAGGTCTATATTGGCTGGTTGTATGTCTGGGGGTGTTTCTGGTGCTGGTCTATTTAATAGCTCTCTGAAGTGTTCTACCCACCTCTTCAATTGCTCCTCTGTTGTTGTGAGAGTTTTCCCGTTCTTGTCCTTCACTGGCTTGTCTGTTTGCTGGAACTTGTTGGAGAGCTTCTTTGTGATCATAATCATATACAGTTCTTTCAAATTTCCTTGTCCCGCAGCATCTTCAGCTTGTTTCGCCAGGTTGTCGATGTAATCCCTTTTATCTCTCCTGATGCTTTTCTTAACTTCTTTATCTGTGGCTGTGTACATGTAGTCCTCTTGAGCTTTTGTCTTTGCTGATCTTGTCCTGTTTGTAATTAGCACTGCTTTCTTTTCCTTCCTCGCCTCCACTTTCCTCATCGTATCACCAGAGATCCGCTCCTTGTGCTGATTCTTTCTTCTGCCTAGGACTTCCTCGCATGTGCCTTGCCACATTTCCTTGATGACTGCCATTGGGGGGTCTCTATGTTGGTATCATTGTTTTCTAGCTGGTCCTGTAGTAGCTGGAATCTATTTGACAAGCTGAGATGGAATACTGTCTTCACTTCCTTTGTTTTGAGGGCACTCACGTTGTACCTTGTCCTCCTGTTTGTTGCGTTGTTGAACTTCTTGAGGCGCAGCCTTAATGCCGTCATCAGCAGATGGTGGTCTGATGAAATGTCTGCTCCACTCATCACCCTGACATCTTTCCATGCTCTTCTAAATTTCTTGTTAATGCAGATATGGTCGATCTGGTTCTCTGTAACATGGTCAGGGGATCTCCATGTGGCCTTGTGAATTCTTTTATGAGGGAAGATGCTTTCACCTATTACCATCTGGTTAAGTGAGCACAGGCCTGCAAATCTCTCACCGTTCTCATTCATGTAGCCCAGCCCATGTGTACCCATGACTTCAATGTAGCCTGTGTTGTCACCTCCAATTTTGGCATTGAAGTCGCCCATGAGTACTGTCATGTCTTTCTTGCCTGTTTTATCCAAGACTGCCTGTAGTTGTTGGTAAAAGGCGTCATTCTTTTCCTCATCTGCATCATTTGTGGGAGCATAAAATTGTATGATGTTTAACTTGATCTTACTTTCCTTGGTGTTAAACTTGGTTGTTATTATGCCGGAGTTGACAGGTTCCCATCCGATGAGAGCACGTTGAGCCTCTAGGGATAGCATCAGACCTACACCTTCGGTGTGGTGGGCTCCCTCCTCGGTGTGTCCTGAATACTATAGTGTTTCCCAGGTGGTTAGCCCCAGCTGTCCCATCTGTAGCCACCTTATCTCACTAAACACCTACCAAGGCATGATAGGCAGGGTTGCCCATGCTGGCAAGAGGTCTGATACATGTAGTTTCGAGGTCAGGACATGCTGGCCAGATGTCTGATAGTTTCGAGGTCAGGACAGGAGTTCGACAAGGATGCTTGCTGTCACCATTTCTTTTTCTCTTGGTCATTGATTGGATCATGAGGACTACCACATCTGACAGGTACAATGGAATACAGTGGACACTCCTGACGCAACTCGGCGATCTTCATTTTGCAGATGACCTTGCTCTCCTTTCACACAACCAAAGCCAGATGCAGGAAATTCGCCTTGCAACAAGATCCGCTGGAACAGGCCTCAAAATCAACTTGAAGAGAACAGAATTGATGAAGATAAACATCCCTGTCCAAACACCAGTCACAGTTGGTGGTGGGCCCATCAAAGAAGTTGAGTCCTTCATCTACCTGGGGAGTGTGGTGGATAGACAAGGTGGCACAGATCGCGACATCAAGTCAAGAATTGGCAAGGCAAGAAATGCATTTACCATGTTAAAGAACTTCTGGGCCTCAAAGAACATCCGTATTACCACTAAACTGTGGATCCTCAACTCAAGTGTAAAGTCCGTCCTATATTGTATGGTGCAGAAACATGAAGGATGACTAAAGCTACCCTGCAGAAGATCCAGACATTTTATAACCTTGGAACCCACAGGGCAAAATTAAAAGAGGACGTCCAAGAAATTCCTGGAGGCGTGACCCAGAGTCGGAGCTAAAGACACAGGATATGACCTGGCATGATGCAGTTAGAGCAGCTCAGAATCGTGTTCGTTGGAGGACTGTTGTTGATGGCCTATGTTCCTCACGGAACGACAGGCCTAAGTAAAGTAATTAAGTTAGATCCTCAGATCCTGAAAATTAGCTTTTAAGTATTTGAAAATGCTCAAAAGAATGTTTGTAATTTCACATAGTAATTTGAATTTACCCATGGCATTAATTTCATTAATCATATGATTTTTAAAATATTAGCAAAACGTTTACAATATACCCGCTTTTCGTTTGCACCGGTGCTTGGCCGGGGACGGGACCCCCCCCCCCTTTGTTTTCTGTACTGTGACAACAAAATTTTTTTTAATAAAATATTTTTCTGTGACATTTTCACAAAGCATCACAACTGTAAAATCCAAAATTTAAGCCAAAACAAGCCTTAAAAAAAATTTATACCAGAAAGTTACCAATAATTTTTTTTATTCATCAATTATTAACAAATCTACCTGGCCAATAAGAACAATGAAATACTTTACATGTTTTATTTAATTTTGTATCAAATGAAACGTATTGCAACATTTCAAATTATTTTTTTTTATCAAATTAAAACACGTTGTCGGGGGAAAAAAATCAACGACTTATATCAAAGAAATCCGATACACCAAAACTATAGCTATGATCAGTATCACTGCATTCTGCAACTTTCGGAAAACAAAACATTGCCATTGGTAGTAATTCACATATTGTCAATTAGGTAATGGATAATTAAATTTAATCTTTATGTTTATTTTATATAAATATTTATAATTCTTTTAAGAATTTAAACAACTTTAATAACAGAATGTCAAGTGATTCAACGGATCCAGGCGACCTTGAGTTCATACCACCAACTCCAAAAAAAGTTTTTAGAAAGAAAAAGGAAAAGGTAAATAATAAATTAATAATTCTGTTAATTTAAAGTTAACCCTGCAAAGCATGTATTTTATGATTTTGTATTCTTCTAGCAAGCTTTTTTTAAAATGAAAATAATAAAATGTTTTGATAATTCATCAAATGCATTTCTTAATTTCTGAATTATACTTTTCCCACCAGACCCCCGAACCAGAACCAGAAGTGGGAGAACATAGTGATTCAGACAGTGGGCCCCCAAGTCCTTAAAAGACTTCTTAAAAGAAGAAAAATGTATCATACTACTAGGTAATTTTCATTTTGATAGATATTCTCAAATTATCATTTCATTTTAACGAAGGGAACTTAAGCATGTTAAGTGTTCAATATTTTTTTATTTAGTCAAAAGATTTAATTACCAAAACGATAAAAGTACCCATACAGTAGTGTCAGGAACAATACGGGTATATTCCCATGACATTTTCAATGAAAATTCTTTGGTCACCGTGAGGGAAGAGGAAATATCACAGAATTCAAGTAGCAAGAATACTCAAACAATCATTACGATCAAAAGAGATTATTAGTTTAGCAACATGGATACAAAATACAAGAACGCTGATATTGTAAAAATGCACAATAATGATGGAAATTCCATTACAAAAATTGCAAACTTTTTATTAGAGAAATCCAAAAACGTAGAAGGAGCCTCAAAAAAATTTAACACTTACTACCAAAGGGTAAAAAGAATTGTGGAAAACTTTAAGAAATTAAACAAGGGAAAAAATAGAGTAGAAGGGGAGAAGTTCTTAAATGATTTTCTTAGTAGGGAATTCGATTTCCCGAAGTTAGAATTAAGTGTGAAAAGTTTTCCCCCAAGTGAAATTGAAGGTCTCAAGCCAACGGAATCAACGTCAGTTGAAATAATTAAAGACCTGACTTCTCAGCTTAAGTCGGAAAAAACCTCTACAGTCACACTTTCTGGAGAACTAAAAGAAAAATATGAAATTGTTAAAAAGCTTCAACGTAGATCTGAAACGCAAATCGCTCGTGAAAAGCAACTTAAAAAAAAAGAACTGAAACGTGTAAAACAAAGAGAAATCTATCACAGAAGTAAAGTCTTAAAATTGGAAAACACCGAGTCAGAGACAGTTGAGAACAGAGCAGTGTTAGAAGAAAACATTGATCAGTTAGTCAAAGAGAATGATGATCTTCGACGTCAGCTAATAACAATGGAATATGAAAGAGATGTTGCTCAAGAGAGCATAAGGGAAGCTCAAGATCCCATTGTTAACTTGTACGATGAAGATGCAAAAAAATACACCTCTGAAGTACAGTTGTGTGTTCATTCATTGTTAGAAAACCATGTCAGCACAAAAAGAGTTGGCCCAGTTATTGAAGCTTGCTTAAAACTAGTAGGTAAAACTCCAAATAGAGTGCCTAAAACTGTAAATAACATAAATATTCAAAGACTAAATTTAGCTCAAAAACAACTTGGAGAAGAATTAGCTCAGCAAAAAGACACAACCATAGAAACGGATGAAACTTCAAAATTTGGTACAAAGTTTGGTGCTTATGCTCTCAGAGATTCTGAAGGGACACCATACGTAGTTGGTCTACGGGAACTCACAACTAAATCTGCAAAAGACACGTTAGACACATTCAAAGAAATTTTATTTGATATAGACTCGCGCTATTATGATTCTCAAAATTTATTGACTCAAAATATTTTGTACCACATACGAAATACCATGTCTGATCGTGCAGCAACCGAGATGAAGTTTAATGAGTTGTTGGAATCATATAGAGAAGAAATTCTACCAGAGATTGTTGAGGATTGGGAGAATCTTCACGATGAAGACAGAAGGGTCTTGAGCAGATTAAACAATTTTTTCTGTGGACTTCATGAATTCATTAGTCCACATTGCTCAGACTGCAGATAAAGCATTAACAGAAACAGAAAATAAATATTTTGACAGTAATGTTCCTATTCTGAATAAACAATTTTCCAAGAAAACAGAATCTGGAACTACAAGGCTTATTCGCACTGCCTGCAAGGCTTTTTCTTACCATGGTGATGAGAAAAGTGGATGTCATGGACCTTTTATGACTTTTATAAAGGAATTTTTAGAAGAAAATCGATTTAGAAGTCTTCCTTTGACTCCTTTCAAGGGAAACAGATTTAATATTCTGTTTCACAATGCAGGTGTGGTGTATTTCTTTAGAGAGAAAATGGTACAATTTCTCCAAGGTTTTGGATCCAACCAGTGGGTTTTGCATGACTTGAGAGTGCCATTTTTCATTGCTGGATGTAGAGCTTTGGGCTTAATTTGCAAGTTCATAACCACTCCCCTCTGGAACTTGATTGAAAGAAAAGATATTCCTATCATGGAAATGAATCAGTATTATTTGACTCTTACAAATTATTTGACTGATGCAGCAAATAATATTGATGATTTTATGTCAGGGAAACTTTGACTCTTACAAATTATTTTACTGATGCAGCAAATAATATTGATGATTTTATGTCAGGGAAACTGGTTCCCTTTGGACAAGACTCTAATATTAAGCATGACAGCATTTATGCTGAACTCATCCGGTCTACCGATAACGATGCCGACACTTCCACAATTCTTTCTATTGTTCTGCCTTCGGTAGCCAAACTAACGAAAAATCATTTTAAAGACCATTTGCCAGGAGGTCTGTATGACAAACCCAGTGAAAAGATGCAACAAGAAACTAGAAGTGTAGCTAAGCACAATAAATTCAGTGAGTCTGTGTTTGCTTACCTGGACGCCTTACTGAGATATAAGCCACACATAAAGACACTGTCTGCAGAATCATACATAATGTTCTCCATGAATAAAACAATGAAGTGGATACAGTCAAAGGATGAGGAGGAGATGAAACAGATATTAGATGAAGCATACAAAAATGTGGAGAAAACGAGAGAAAAATTCTCAGAGAGAAAGCAAGAAATTGCAAGAAGAAAGTATGCAATTCTTCAGAAAAAAATGAAGAAAGCAGAGGAAGCAAAATTGAGGAACAAAAAAATATGCTTTTGCAAACAAATGACATCCTCTACTGGGGACTGTGGCAGACAGTTGATCAGGTAGAAAATGTATTAAAGCCCATGAACGAAAAGGATAAAGTTGAAGCACTTAAAGCTCAGCTCAGGTCTAGGAAAAATATACTTCAACAGAGAACAAGCACCAGTGAGATTTTCAATTTCACAAAATCTGAAGGTGAGGCTAAGAAGAGAAG